ATCTCATATTACAGACAACTCAGCAATGCCTAATCATTTGTATATGAAGGGACTTGAGCTTCACTTTTAGTTTGTCCTAAGGCCTTTATTGGAATTCACTGCAGTTCCTGGACCATCTATCTCACCCTTAGACCCCCAAACCCTCTTCAGTTCTACACTTCTATATCCTACCCTAGCTCCTCAAAGGGTATGTTTTAAGAAAAAAAAAAAAAATTTGCCTTCCAAGAGGAAGAACTCAACATTATGTAACTAGAAAATGAAGAGAATCAAACTTTTCATGCTTCTAGATATGTATCGATACTGAGAAAGCCCAATTAATTCTCATGTCACTCAGGAGTATGCAGGGGTTCGACCGCAACAACGTCCTGTCTGCAGATGTATTTCAACAGATGATTGTTTCATATTTAACTCTGGCACACACAGACGCACAGAAAAAGAACAGAAAAGATTTTCTCAGCCGAGAATTTGCAGCTATAAAAAACTTCCTAGCTATGACAGTTTACCTTATTATTTAGGAAGAGAGAAGCGTTTTCATTTCCTGGTGGCTTTTGAGGATTTTAGAATAAACCATCCTAACGATTCATGAGCCTGAACTGAAAGAATTCTCTGCTGCTCTGTTCTTCGCAGTGCTACCCTTGTCACAGACATATAGGTTCAAGAAATTATCTCAATGGCAACAAAGCATTCATTTGTAGAACAAATATTTATGAACCAGCTATAATGTGGCAAGAAATGTACTGTGCTAAGAATACAGCCATGATTAAGACCAAAAGCAAAGCCCCTGCCTTCAGAGAGTTTACACACTGTTTTTAGGATACTAGCTATGGCTTCTACCTTCACATAAGCTAATTATCACTGCTTCGTAAGTGGTGGCAATATAGCATCTTCCAGATGCCTGGTGTTAAACAGGTCAGCATGTAAATCTTTCGCTGCCCAGCTCAGACTGCTTATTTACCGCTCCTGGTAGAACTAAAGTGGCACTAAGATCCACAGAGGGATTAACAGAAATTAAAAGCTCCCTGCACGTGAGAAAACAAGGACTCCACACAGGTAGCAGATCGAAACTTAAAATGGCATATTGGGGAAACACTTAAAACAAAACCTAGTAACAGTCATGCCACGGAGTTATGCCATGGAGAGTAAGAGCAGACTCTATCAGGGCTCATTATTTCATGGCCTTGGCTAACATGCCAAGTAAATCATGCCCACTATCCAGGCAAACTATGAAGATAAAAAAACGTAGACCAAACTGAAGGTATATGTTAGTGAGGTATGTCATATGCTAGCTTAAATTTGTCTAAAAGGAACTTTTCCCAGTGTTAGAATCCACATTAAAACAATTATTAAGATTTCCCCTTTAATAAATTGTGTTGTCCATGCCACGGAATGTCTATCTTATAGAATATTATGCAACCATTACAAATAGAGAAGTAGATCTACACATTAATACAGAAAAGAGCTCCAGTACATACTGTTAGAAGAACGAGAAAAAAGACAGGTAGACTAATACATACACTATGATACTACTTATGAATATTTTTAGCCTCTCAAAACGATATTTCATTTCTGAATATGAAGAAAAGATCTGGAAAGACACAAAAACATATGAAAGTGATTACACTTCTGAGGAGATGATAAAGAACCATGTTGGAGAATTTAGCATTGTGTACAGTCTTGTAATTTTCTTTGGGAAATTGTATTCATATATTAAATTAATTATGTCATTAAAAATTAACTAAAAAGAATTAAAATAGAGAACAATCAACATCTCACTATAATTTAAATATATATAATAAAATTGGGTAGTAAATTACAGTAAAACTAAGTCAAATTTCTTATGTAGTGTTCAGATTTTTCTTTCAAAAGCTTGCTCATTCTTTTTTAATCTAAAAAATGAGACTTAAAAATATAGATTCAAGTCAAAACCTATGGTTTTGATCATCTTGTCTGTAATATTACATATCATGGAAAAACCCAACCCTGAAAATAAGCAGGAAAAAAAGAGCACTTTAAATGCATAAAAGACAAAAGAAGTCTTGCTATATAGAAAATATGGGAAACATTAAATCAACTATCTTCATCTAATCCCTTTAAACACTCTTCAGCATCACTGAAGACAAGATTCAGTGTATCTTTCGCCCCAAGGATAGCAGGATGCCTGAGAATGATAGCAAGTCAACAAAAAGATACGAAGGAAGAGGAGGAATAAAAGAAAGAAAACGAAAAACAAACCAAAGCAGAAAGTGTACCGAAGAGAGAAAGAAGTGTGGAACTGAAAGTCACTGCCTACAAGCAGTCACATAACTGCTCCAGCACGAAAGAAAATGGCACTCGGTACTGAGAAACACAAAAGAAATCAGCAAAAAAGAAATCAGCCATCTGAAATATGAGAAAACATAATGTAGTCAGTCAAAGTAGAACAATTTACCAAGAATTTCCATGTACACTGTGGAATAGAGTCTTTGTAACAACATGGTATTTACCCTATTTAATAGAAAGAAACTGAGGCTCTAAGCGGGTAAGGGGATTGCCAAAAGCGACTCAGCGAATAAGTAATACCCTACAGCTGCTATAGACTGTCCCCCACATTGATAACTTTTCAAACAGACATGAAAGTTTCAAGATGCGAATATATCGTCAATACAGTTACTGATGTTTACATAGTAAGCTACTTTTTTTCCTCTAGGGAAACTAACTGGAAAAAGTATTTAATTTGTCCTTTCAAAATCAAGAGGATGCAGTGGAGGAGGACACAGAGGTGTGTTGAAGAGTCACACGCATGAGTCCTGTGGTGACGGGCCATTCGGCGTCTCAAATGCGGCGGTGCATACACGTCCACACGGGGTACTATTGTGTAGAACTTAACACACACGCCCACGAAAGAGTACAGGTAAATTATGGAAAGCTAAACTAAATCTGTGGATTTTACCAAGATCAACATCCTGGTTGTGACATCATACTGTAGTTTTACAAAATGTAAAGAATACATGAGATCTACCTGTATTTTTTATTATAATTGAATGTGAATATACAACTATCTCAATAAAAAATTCAATTAAAAATCAACCATATGTGCATACCACCAAACTGATTTGAAACAGATTGTAGAAATATCAGAAAACATAATGTAGTAAGTCAAAGCTGACTTCATTATGATAGAACTAGTAGAGGCCTTACCCATGAAACTAAAATTTTTAAAATTATTATTCAACCCACATGTGATAATTTTGAATAGTTTTGGAGATATAATGCCTTGGATTGAGAGTCAGATCACCCGAGCCATGCAAATGATAAACCGCTGGTGGAGGGAAAATGAGAAAGAGGAAGAAAAAAGCATTTGAACTAGAACAAAGGGTTGTTTAAGAATTCCATCTCAAAACATTAACTGACATAAATACTAGAAGTGTAAGCCAGCTGCTGCATAAGACAATGGGAGAATTATAATGATAATTACAGGATGCACCAAGAATTTCTAATAATAACACTAATCATAATAGCTACTATTTATCAATTCTAGGATATTAAGAATATTAGAAACCATGTAAAGGAGGAAAATAAGGCAATGGTAATTTACGTAAATAATCTGGATGCACATTAAGTAACATCAGGCTGCCTCTCTTTAGAACTGAGTAGTGAGGAAAAGTAGGGGTGGTATAAGTGCCAGATGTTTTCTTCTGTCTACAGGGTGGGCTGGAACCACATCACGAGTATGATCTTGTACCACCACCCTTCCAACTCAGCCCCGTGGTGTGGCTGAGAGATTTAGACAAATGCACATTAGAAGCTGAATCAATGAACACTGGTCTCCATGCCAGATTCCGATAGCTATTTCCTAGATTCCTAATACATCCTCCTCGGAATCTGGCACTTAGCAAACTAGGTTTTGAGTTGTAGATATAGCTTTCAGGGGGAAAGTTTTAGCTTAAAATTTAATTCTTTTAGATCACTTAATATTATAAAGTAACAAATTATAGCTTTATTATGAGTAAACCTGGCAAATGCTAGTTCAAGCAAGAGATCAAAGTTAACATCACCAATAATCAGGTAAAGTGGCATCATTTGCGTCCTGACATGGTACACTGAGAACAACACAACCCGAACTTTAATAGCATTCCTACCAAAAATGCATAAGCTCAATCTGATCCTGAGGAAACATCAGATAAGTTGGATCCTCTACTGAGGAAAAATTGTTATGAAGAAATTTGAGTACGGACTGCAAATTATCAAGATGTTATATTTCCTGAACTGGATAATTGTACTGTGGTTATATATAAGAATTAGCTCATTCTTAGGAAATACATGCTTAAGTATTTAGAAATAATGAAATATGATATCTGCAACATAGGTTCAGGAAATACTATGTACACACAAAGAGAGAAGACATAAAAAAAGCAAATGTGACAAAATGTTAATAATTGATAAATACGGCTATTTGTACTATTTTTGTAACTCTTCTTTAAATTTAAAGTTATTTTAAATTTTAAAATGCTTAAATGTAATTTAAAACATAAGGTTAATACTTAAAAGATAAGAGAAGTTATTGCTTTCAAAACCATCTTGATTAATAATGTTGGTGAGTTCTAGAACTTAAAAAATGATGTTTACGTCTTAGCAAACTAAGAATACAGATCATTAGAGCTATTCATTAAACAGACAGTTTTAAGTTAAAAAAAAAAAATAGCTACTATTTATCAAGTACATATAATGTGCCTGGCATTGTGCTGGCTGCTTCTCATATATGAATGAAAAACCTCACAACAATCGTGGGAAGTAAAATGTGAAAACTGATGGATCTTATGTAATCTACTCAAGGTTACAGCGTTAGAAAGTGGCAGAGCTTGAGTTGGAACTTAGCTTTTTCTGGCTCTAAAGCTTATGTGCTATTCACTGCTCCATAAGACATAGAAAAGAAATGTCTTCATATTCTGGCACATTAACTTTAGGGTGAGGGGAAAAATTATATCCCATAGTAAAAAAACTATTACTGACATTATACTTACCTGCTTGTAAGTTCCATCTAGCAAGGTGTCCAGGTGTTGGAGGGGGGCAGGTGTTTTATCTTTGAATCTTGTTAATAGCCGGCGCTGAATGGCCCGAAACTGGACAGCTCTTTCAGATAAGAGTTCTTCTAATTTCTCACCATTTATCCGCAGCTACAGTGAACAATATCTTAAATTCAGGTTAAATGTGCACAACAAAACATGTCTAAAGGAATAATACAGAAAATGCCAATGAAAGTTTGAAAGAGCAATAAAGAAAATTTACATGTATTATAGAGTTAAGAGAATTAAAATAGTATTGTATTTGGTACATGAGTATTGAGGTGATACTGTAGAATAGGTCAAATAAAAATGTAGTAAAGATGACACAGTATCACTGGGAAAAAGAGATTATTTAACAAATGTTTTGTGGTAGCTGGGGGGAGAAAAGAATAAGAATTTCTAACCCTAGTCTTTATAGCAAAATCTATTGCAGAGGAATCAAAAGTTTAGATGCAATAAATGTAGTAAAAAAAAAATAGAATTTTTAAAAATAATCTTGGCATGAGAAAGATCCTTTTAAGTCAAAAGCCAAAGTTAAAAGACACACACACACACACACACACACACACACACACACACACACACACACATCCCACACATACACACACACCCGTGATAAATTAACTAAAAAAATTAATTCTATATGGTTAAAAAAAAAATGAAAAACATTATAAGTAATAAGACAAAAAGTAAAGTGCAAAAATAACAGCAATAGCCACACAGACAAAAAGTCATGCCCTTAACATCTAGAAAGTTATCCACAAATCAATGAGAAAAGGACCACAACCTAATACAGGTCATTAAGAAAAAGAGCAACAGTCCGACATAAAAATGGGCAAAGTTTACAGAAAAGTTAATACAAATAAGCTCTCTAACATACAGCCTTTGACCTACCAATCCCACTTCCAAGAATTTATCTTAGCGATATGCTTGCAAAAGTTAATGTCCATACAAGGATATTCATGATAGAATTGTTTGACCTCTTCTATTACAGTAAGCTATTAGTAACAATCAAAATATTCATCAATAAGAACAGGTTAAATAAATAAAAAAGACTACTTTGCAGGATTACTGGGTATGCTGATGTGCAAGGCTATCCAAAGATGCACTGAATGAAACAAAGCAAAATATATATATATACACAATATAATATGTATAATGTGCTACCATTCATGCACTTAAAAAGAAAACTGCATATTAACATAGTTGTAACTGCACAGAATAGTTCTCCAAAGATATACAAGTAACTAGACACCAAAAGTTGCTTCCAAAGAGAAGACTGGAGGATGAGAATCAGAAATGACCCTTTTCAAAAAAAAAAAAAAAATGACTCTTTTCACTATAACTCCTTATAACTTTTGAATTTAATATTAGAATAAAAGAAAGCTAGTCAAAGTCATAGAACACTCTAAGAAATTAAATCGTGCAACCCACTGTAATTCAATTTTACAAAAGTCATAAACTAGCAGTCATTGAAATGTTTTCATGTGCTAGAATTTCAATATTTAAGAAATATTTATCGATTCCAGGGCCGAGCACTGTTCTAAGTTCTAGGAATTACAGTAATAAATAAAACAGATGAAAATCCCTGCCTTCATAGAGCTTATGCTAAGGGACACTCGGATTCTAAAAGCCACCTTGATTCAAAGTTTTAAATAATTTTTTAAAAAAGTAGAGTGGGGCCAGTAAAAGAAGAATAATCATACTCCTTTTAATTTGTGTCACAAACGAAAGTGCTTATACTTCACAATATTCATTAAGTTTTTCCCCAGAAAGGAAATGCCCTTGACGTGCAAACTCCAGGGATTTACTAGCCAAATAAGGGGGGGACTGTGTGTCAAATTTACAGTCAATCAGAATTTATTAAAGTCAAACAAAGTCAATTTCTATTTTAAATATTACAATATGTAATTAATATAGTCTTTCTGTGGACCCTCTTCCACAAAACAATAGACCCCACTTTTGTCCAGTAAATTTCTTAAAATATAACTTAGAGGATGCCAAAGGTTCTCAATCCTTAAAATACCTACGTATATTCCCTAAACTGTCAATTTTGATGTCACAATTTGGTCAAAAGCATACTATCCTATAACGTATTATCAGCATAGATGAGGGAACCCAAAATAAGTTCAGTTTTATTTCATAATGACATGTTATTTTTAATTGGATTTTATGCACTGTAATGTTCCCTTAATGTTTGCACTATTAAAAGAAGTCTGTATAGCTTGAAGTCAATGCCTCTGGAATGTGGAAAGGGACTGAAATGAGGTAGAACGTTCAGGTGACTGACAGGTTACATGACACTCTCCCTGCCCCCAAATGGTTTATAAACTGAAATGCAAAAATCTACCGATCCCTTAAAAATTGTCACTCCAGGAACCAATGCTTCCTTGAACGATGTTTAAAATTCTTTTGAAATTTCCCTTTGGAATTGCCTATAGAGTCTACTTATAGGCAGATAAGTAGAGCCTGGTGAATTTTTTCCAACACATGGGACTTTTAAAACGATGACTGTCACTGTCCAATTCATTCACAAAATGTGACTCTTGACTATTTCCAAATATCAAATTAATCTTCAAATGATGAAGATTTGACACCATTGAGATACTCAAGAGAATCTAAAACAGGCTCTGAAGGAGAAAAGTAAAAATATCCAGGCAACTAAGTCACCGTCAGATCTCATTTATTTAGACGTTTAGTCATTCAGCATTTACTAAGTGCCTGTTGTACCTGATACTGGAGAACATTTCATCTGGTTAACCCTCATTCACATGCAAAAGTTCTTGTGTGCTTGTTAAAAAAGAAAAGGAAAAATCACTTGATAATCACACCTCACTTATGGCTTGCTAGAATTAGTTAGCCAAATGGCTGCCCATAAATTCGAACAGTTTCAACACTGGGTTACTGGGGTCAAAGGTTAAACCCCCATGTGGGAAAATTAAATCAGTTCTGTTGTGAGGCCAGACCACAGGCTTAGCTCCAGGCAGCCATTCTGGAACTGTCTGCAACTGATCACAAATGGGGCAAGAGGGCAGGGACGGATTCACAAATTCCGCCATCCACAAAATAACAACAACTTGAAGCACACAGTCTAGTAGCATGTATCCTACAACTCTTACCTCTGTAGCATCTCTTTCTCTTTCATATATTGAAAAATTATAAATGATGTGGGTTCTAATCATACATACCTCAAAATGATGATCAATCAACTCAAAATATTCTTGAAGGGGCACAGATCCAGAAAAAGAACATGAGAAATCTTTGATTCCCTGTTTTTCAAAATATTCTTTAAGGCGGATAATAAGCTCATTTGTTATGAGCCAAAGATCTTCAAATTGTTCACTCTGAATGCGATATCGTTCTAAGAGAGAGAGAAAAAAATAATTAAAAAATACTTCTTACTAGCTGTGATATGAATACCAAAACAAAAGGACAAAGATTTCTTTTATGGAATAAAGATATGATTTCTAATGGCTCGATAAAAATATTCCTAGAGCTTTACTGCAGTTTTCTGTATCAAGCACTTAACATTTCAAATTTAATGCCAAAGACATGTGGTCACAGTGGCAAGTAATAAAGTATGGTCCTTCTTTCTGTGTATCTCACAATAGGTTTCAGTACATTAAAAATACCCAAATTTGTGTCCTTCTAATAAAAAGTTTCACTTAAAAGGTAAAAAAACAAAACACGCACACACACAAAAAAAACAGCCATTGTAAAAATGCAATCTGGTATCATTAGTTCGTTTCAGAATATTGATGCGAAATGAAATGCATTCTATAGAAAATCCCATATCGTGGACACCGTAGCCAGCTTAACTCCCTATAATCAAAAATCAAAGTTTTCCATTTTTCTAGTAGTTCTTTAATTTGAAGAGATTTTGCCATCAGACCCCTCCCTGAATATAAATCTTGTTTCTCTCCATTCCCTGAAACCTCAGCTCCAAGAGAGCCAAATTCTTATCCATCCCCTACCCTGAAGATGATGATGATGATGATGACGAGAGTGATGGCAATAACTACATCTATGATAAGAGCAACTGTTATTGGTTGAGCACCAACTATGTACCACGCACTGTGATTATAACAACCTCCTTTTCATAGGGAAAAAAAAAAGTAGACACAGAATTTCAGTGACATGCCAAAGGTTACAATGCAAATTAAATGTCAGAGCTAAAATTCATGATATGTATCCTTCTTCCCTACCTGCCTAAATCTTACCTATTCTTCAGGACCTGGCCTCAATCTCTCCTACACCAAGTAATTTTTTTTCCTAGCATTCCTAATATGTGCCAGCATATAAAATTAAGCACTTTACATTCACTCTCTTGTTTAAATCTGAACAGCCCTATGAGGGACATATTGTTGTGCCCATTTTACAGAAGAATAAATCCAGTCACAGACAAGTTTACGTAATACACGAGCTAGTCTAGCCAGATAGCAATGGGGCAGGGACTGGAATTCCGGCCATTAATTCCAAGATTAGTTATTAATCTTAACTGCCTCATAATGTTGCATCTCTCTGAATTATATAGGGACTTAGTATGTCTACATTTCGCTATGTACTTAACCACAAACAACCATGTATTCTTACTTAACTTTCCAGATAATTATATTCAGTATCTTCAAAGAGATTATAAGCTTTTTAAGATCTAGGACTAAGTCCCTTATTCCACGAAATTCACCATTTATTTATTGAGCATTTATTATGGGCAATGTCACAAAGGAAAAAATGCTGGGAGCATAAAAATGAACTCAGCCTTCTTGCTTAATAGGCCAAAGGTCTAAAAAAAGTACCATGACACGTGGACATGTGAAATATTTCTATCTCCCACGAATATTTATTTATATTCCCCATAGCATCTTGACAAATTCTATATTACATCTTTAAATTGGTTATTAGGACTCCAATTTGTCATCCTAGGCCAGAATTCAAGACTGTATCTCCTCATTCCCCTAATCATCCTCTTTCAATTATACAAGGACTAGAAGATACTGGATACATCTGCCATGGTCCATGGCAGACACCCCGGTCCTCTCTGCTATCGTATCATTTCCCTTGGAGCTTCCCCAGCAGCTCACCTCACCCCAGTCTTATTCTGGATACGGGCCTCTGCCCATGGTGCTGAACATGTCTTTCCTCATTTCTCCCCATGAAAGATATTAGGACAAAGGTCAGATGTAACAACTCTTACCTTTCTTTGTAAATGTCACTGAAGGTTTAATGTTTTAGAAGAAAAATAGAGAGCACAATAGTGGTGGGGTAGAAGTAGAGATAAAAAGAGATTATGCCGACAGCAAAATACCGTATCGGAATCCTAGCTGGGAGACGGTGGTGGGGATGAGTACAGCATAAGGCAGGCAGGCAGCTGCCATGGAGTGGCTACGTGCAGCGCCAGATGGGTGATGGAGTAATTGGGATTGATGCATAAACGATATAAATGTCTGACCAATGTACTGTATACTTGAAACTAGAAATAAAATAAAATGCTAAAAAAAAAAATCCTCTAGATCCGGGGCCCCGTACACGCTAAGCTTGGGAACCAACGTTTTAAACTCACTGGTGTTTATTCACTCTTTCATTTATATAAATTCATAATATAATTTAAATTGTATTTAACGTATGTAGTTTAGTGTGAGATGCCGGAGATAAAATGGATAAAGCAAGGAGCTCACTGCAGGACCTGGAAAGATGGAGCAATGGGTGAAGAGTGAACACTGCTGGCACCCTCACTGATTCAGGGACACCCCATTGGGGCTGACCTTGCCGCAAGAATGCCAGGACTTACCCCCAAGGGGCAGATTACCATTTTGAAGTATGTAAAGGTCTATTATATAGCGGAAGAATTAGACAATAGCAAAGGAGCTGCAAAGGGCAGAAGGCACAGTAAGAATTGCAGAGTAACTACAGATCTTCACAGAGCTTGTTGACTTGGGAGGAAGGGAACCACCTCGCTCCATTGTAAGTGTCTGGTGTTTGGTGACTTCTTGAAATTCCCCTTGGGAGCTGTAGAACTCAAAGAGGAAGAAAGATAGGTCCTCCTCTGAGATACAGACATGTCTATCCTTCCTCCGTCATGGGCCAGATATTTAATGTCAGATGAATGCTGCTTCCAGGTTCCAGACATTTGTCCCTCCTGGGCAGATGTTTGGCCTCTGGCTCAGGGCTGGCTCCCAGGACATTGTCCTTCTGTGTGCCTGTCCATCTTTGGGCAGATGTTTGTACCAGTCCAGAGCCCTGCTCCAGGCCCAGGTAATGCCCTAGGCCTCCTGGGGAAGGAAGTTGAATTGGACTAGCCACATTTCCTTTTGCGGTTTTATGATTTCCAAAAACACTGGCTCACGCTCTGCTGCACCAGGCCCTGCTAGATGTAGCAGGTGTAGGTGATGAAGTCACACACTGCAGTGATCCAGGCCCGAGATGATGGCAAAATGTAATCGTGGCTATTGGAGTGACAGAGCCAGAAGTAGTAGTGGCAGGTGTGGGCATATATATTGGTACTGCTGCGTCTGACTGCGGCCACCCTCACTGTGGGTGGCATCTGTAAAGCCACAAGCTGGAGGGTGAGTGGCTTCCAGAGAGGCCTGCGCCAGTGCCAAGAGATCTTACATGGCACACGCCTCCCGGGGAGGAACTGGGCTTGTCCTGGGGCACGATTCCCTCCAGGCCTTGGATTCTGCAGAAGGGGTCATACCCGCCTCCCACCTTCCGTCTCCCGCCTTCCCAGGGCAAGAGCATATCCCTCAGCGCAGCACATGGCTGGGCACAGGCAGCTACTGGTGCTCCTGGCCCTTGCAGCACCCAGCCTCAGTGGGGCTCAGCGGCTTCAGGCGGTGCTCCTGGCTGGGACCGAGTGGTGCGGACTTGATGACCAGTGTCTTCAAGGCTGTCATCTCCACCTGCGGCTGTTGGTCCTGCACCATGTTCCCTTTGGAGGCACTTCTGACGCTGCCCATTCCATGTGGGCTTCTGGCACGATCTGTGCGCTTCCTCAGACAGGCCGGCCGTCAGCAGCTCCAGCTCCCGTTCCCACACCTCGACCAGTTGCTCAAGGTCCTATCTCAGCTTCAGCTCCTTCTGGGCTGTGTAAGTTCCTCCTCCAGGAGCTCGGAGCCCTGTCCTTCTCACAAATCTCCGTGGAGACCCTACAGGAAAACCTGTCGAGCCATCAGAGAAGAGCACCCTCCGGGGTTCACAATGTTAAACAAGACCCTCCGCTCTGTTCACCACTCCCAGACCCCAAGATTCTGAAAGTGAAGACACACGGCCTCGAAGTCCTCATGGCTTTTCATATACGTAAGCTTTTCAATAAAACACTTAAAACAGTGCCTGACACATATAAGCACTCAATTACTGTTACCTGTTATCATTTGTAGACTAAAGGGTAAAGATTCTATCATAAATTTCATTAGACACACATAGAACCTAACTGACGTGGTAACTTTCAAACAGCAGATATGAAAAAAAGTGGCTTTAATAAAATGTTTTCCTTACCATAGAATTAGCTGTCATTTTAGAAAGAGCTATACATTTTTACATAAATATTACTGTGCTAATATTTCAAAGAAAATTGTTAATTCATTCAGGTTCTGGAAGGATTTGAATAGGCTTCCACGTGCAGGTAGAAACACCTGGGGTACAGCCTAAATATAAGAATAAAATTTCTTATAAATAAAATGAAATAAAACTTCAGAGAGAAAATTATTCAACTATAATTTTTTAATACAAATTTGTCATAATTTATATATCTTAAAAGAGATGAACACGAATAACTGGAATTATTATGACTCATTTAAAAGAATTATACCATCTGGCCCAGGATACAAAAAAGTCTGCATTTCAAAGTATTTGAATGAAGAGAAGCAGCAAGCCATGGGGATATCTGAGGGAAAAACATGCCAAGCCAAGGACACTGTGAGTGCAAAGGCCCTGAGGCAAGAATGTGCTCTCAGGAACAGCAGCTAGAATGGCTGAAGCTGAGTGAGCAGCCTCTGTAATGTTTCAGAGGAGGGAACTGTCAGGGTTCAGAACGAACCGCCCCAAGATGTGCCTCAGTGGTATGCAGATTACTTTGAGCAAAGGCAATTTTAGCTTCAGGCTCAAGAGAAATTTCAGCCCCTCCCCTTATCTACTATCTGAAGGGCAGGGCAAACTTAACTATTGACTAAATGTCTGTTTTTCTTACCATCCTGCAAGGATCTTTTCAAGCCCACAAGGCGCCTTACCTCGTCCCTAGCTCAGAATGTCTTCAACACCCATGTGCCTTCCCTTTCTCTGAACCTCGCGCGATTGTGGGGTCTCTGACTCTCTCATACATGCGAGATTCCCAAACATGTGTTAGTTAAGTGATAAGTGCTAGGG